ATCTTGTACCTAGCCTTCTTTGTTACGGGCAAAAAATCTCGACGGTCCTATGTGCAAGTTGCGCATGGTAAAGATCCCTTGGTGGTCCAGAATCGATAAGGGTAGGCTTCGGCCACCACCCGGACAAAATTCAAAATTTCCTACCAACTGAAAATGTTTAATGTGTCCCACGAGCTCGTATGACCTTATGCAGTTGCGAGACCATTTTTTTTTCTCAATATTTGGTTCGAGTCAGGAAGTAAGTGAGACCCTTAGTGTGGCTTGAAGATGCTCATAAGAAACTATGGATCTGTCCTTTGTCTCCTTGAAGTTCATGGTGGAAAAGAGCTTTTGCTCACAGAATATGTGCCTGTAAAAAGGTGTTTCATAGAAATATGTAAACTGCACTAGCATTCAACTTTTTTGTCCAAGAAGGGGCCACAAAATATCGTCCTAGTGGGCCCCGCACCCAGTGAGGAGAGCAGTGGGTGTGGAGCGTCGACCTCGTGGTTTGTATCTGCCGTCAGTAACAGAGACCCCCGACTTTTTCCTCCACAGAGAATGTACGCGGGGAGGGTTCTGCCACTTCATGCACCTGAAACCCATCTCCCGTGAGCTGAGGAGGAAGTTGTATGGACGCAGTGGTAATCGTAAGGGCAAAAGGTAAGGTTTGCGCGCTGTTTTGTGGTTGTGTTTCCTGAAGGCTAAAAATAAAATGTGGAGAAGGAACCCGTGGGTTTCATTTCGTGCTTGGTTTGCCGAGGACTCGCCGGCTGTCGGGGCTTGACAAGCTAACCCCTGCTGGGGGGCACATAAAGGCTGTGTTAGAATATTCATTGTCAGATAGAACTGTTCAAAGTAGACACTGTGGGTGGTTGGCGGGTGCTCTGGTGTGGTTTGCTTCTTCTTTCCTTTGAAACATCTATCGTCCTTATCTCCCCTTCTTCTTTTTTTATGTTTGTTACTCTCTTGTAACACCTCTAATCTTCTGGCGCTCATATGACCTTATGCAGTTGCGAGCGCTGTAAAACCTCTACTAAAACGAACGAAAGTACACACTAATAATTTTTACCATTTGTCATTTTTATGTTGTGTTTTATAAAGGTGAAAACAGATTTTCAATAGTTGGCATACTTTTTGTTTGTATGGTTATTTGAAAATATTGGCAAAACTAAAGCTCAGGATTACTTGAGCCACTGGTCAAGGAAATGCATGAAGCAATCTCTGGTGTGGCACATTTTTTTTTTTTTTTAACTCTTCTTAACAGAATAATATAGATGTAAGTATTCTAAAGCACTTTTGTGACCTTTCCCCCCGGGGCAGTGCCACTGACTGTAGTGTCTTTAGGCCATTCCGGAAGGGGGGGACATTTCTCGTTCAAGCACAGTAGAATTGTAAATGGGCTGATTCACGTCACGCTCGTAACTGTGCCTGATCTACAACAGGGAACTGCTGCTTTTTCTTTCCTAATCCTCACTATCATCATTTTTCCCCTACTTGTTTTGTATGTTTGTCACACTCTTGTGACCGGCTATTTATGGGGTGCCTTGATAGTCGAAGCAGACCTTGTGCTGTTGAAGCTAGAGAAGGGAGCAGAGTACGTCTGATTCCCTGTAAAGACTTCTCTGTTGACCCCCACCACTTGGCACTCATATGACCTTATGCTGTTGCAAGCGCCGTAAAACCCTCTACTATTTTTTTTAAAAAACTTTTGTGACCTTCTTGTATGTTTTGTACAATATCCAGAACCTGTAGAAACTAACGATATTTTTCATTTTTCCTTCTAAATGAGCGAACTAAAAACCTCATGAGAATGGTTATGGTGGCTGTGTTTTGCTCTAAATCTCTGTGGAACTTTGTTATGATCGCTGTGTAGTTCCGATCTGTCGCTCCAACTGTGTAGGTGGTTGGCGGGTGCTCTGGTGTGGTTTGCTCCTTCTTTCCTATCAAACATCTATCGTCCTCATCTCCCCTTCTTCTTTTTATGTTTGTTACTCTCTTGTAACATCTCTAATCTTCTGTCGCTCATATGACCTTATGCAGTTGCGAGTGCCGTAAAACCTCTACTAAAACTAAACTAACTCTCTTGTAACACCTCTAATCTTCAGCATTTATATGACCTTGTTGTGTTGCAAGTGCCGTAAAACTCATACCAAAAAAAAAAATTAAAAAATAAATGTTGTTGTCGATCCGAAGAAACTTTCTGTCACAAGAGTGTTTGTTTGATTTGTGCATCTTTGCTTATCCTCTGTTCTTCTTGTATGTCTTGTCTTTGCTGATAGTTGCACTGATGAGTTGTCACGTAGATGTGTTTCTCTTTGCTCAAAAGCGGGTGGTTGGCGGGTGCTCTGGTGTGGTCTGCTCCTTCTTTCCTATCAAACACCTATCATCCTTATCTACCCTCCTTCTTTTTTATGTTTGTTACAGTACTCGCTTGTAACACCTCTAATTTTCTGGCGCTCATATGACCTTGCGCAGTTGCAAGCGCCGAATAACCTCTACTAAAACAAAAAACAAACTTTCAGTCACAAGAGTGTTTGTTTGATTTGTGCATCTTTGCTTATCCTCTGTTCTTCTTGTCTGTCTTGTCTTTGCTGATAGTTGCACTGATGAGTTGTCATGGAAATGTGCTCCTCTTTGCTCAAAATGGGAAAGGATGGTTGGTGCTCTCAACTACAGTCGAACCTGCACGGAAACCTGTCTTAGCGGAATCCCACCGCTCCCCCTTTGATATATTCCTCTTTAATTACCTGTATAAAACGGAAACCTGTCCTGTGCGAAAACGGAAAGGAAATCCGCTCCCTTCCGAGGGTTTCACGTGTCTAAGATGGAAATTACTTTGCCCTATCAGCCCTGATTTGAAACAAAACTCGCAAGTTTGGTTCCGCTGACTGTAAACTTAACGCCATGGCCATGCCGCTGGGCGAGGAATGGGAGTACGGGTGGGTGCAATTTGGGG